GATGGCGGCCGTGGCGGGAAGGTTGCTCCGGACTTCGGTGAGTGGCTGGCGGCGGGGCACAGGCGCGGAGACACTGTGGTGGCTCCGAGAACGTGCTTCCCAGATGGGATCCCGCTCCCCTGCGGCCTTGGGGCGTTTCACCCTTCTTGGAGGATATCGGAGGGTAGCGGACCAGAGGCCTCCTCCTCTACGGAAGGCTCCCTGCGCCTGCGCAGAGCCGCCCTTCCCCCCACCCACCCTTCTTGTGGTCCCCTGCCCAAATCCCTTTCGCTCCAGGTCGTGGGTCCCCGGTCCCCTCTCCACCTAAGCATCTGGCTCTCGATGCAGGCGACCTGGCCCCTGGTCCCGGTTCTGTAACCGACTCTGTGACCTTGGACAAGTGACTTCTCCTTTCCGAACCTCAGTTAACTTTCCTCACCTTAACAAAGAAAGAATGATGTTTCCGTGAGCAGCCACTTAAATGCTGGATGAAAACCAAAATGCCAAAGTAACCAAAGTGCTCACGTGCAAAAGGCGATTTTCTCCTCCCACCCAGGGCGGTCCCAGGGCCGTTTTCTCCAGGCAAAGCCTAGTACCCTCTTGCTACCCGCCCTCCCTTTCTCGTGGTGGGGTTCAGCGCAGCCTCTTTCTTCTTCCTGAGTCATGCTGGACCCTGAAATTGAGCAAACGTTTCCCTTGAGCCCTGTCCAAACTTTCCCAGAGGCTGAACTTTGCTCGGCTTGTTTGCTTCTCTGTGGAGCTGGAAGGCCCTTGTCTTTTCTAGGGAAAACCTTGACCATAGGAGATCATGCTCAGCAGATCTGCTTGGTAAAGGGCTTAATACACAGGGCCTGGCCAAGTTTCCCGGGTTTCTGAATCCTCTGGGTTGCTCTTAAAAGCATGGAGTCTTTATGTTCTTATAATTCTCCTCTGTCTTGCAGTCTTTTTTTTTCCATTCATTAATTTATATATATTTTTAAATAAAAATTATATACTTGAGGTGTGCATCATGATTTGATATACGTAATGAAATGATTACTACAGTCAAACCAATTGACATATCTCTTCACATAGTTACTTCTTTGTGTGTGATGAGTACACCTGAGATCTACTCTTTACATATTGTCTGCTTCAATACAGTATTATTAAGTATAGTCAATATGCTTGTACATTAGATCTCAAGACTTATCCTACATAACTGCAACTTTGTACCCTTTGACCAACATCTCCCTTTCCTCCTCCCCAGCCCCCTTTACAATCTTGAAGGATAAGGAAGCAGAAGGGAATTTTAAGAACATGGAGACTCAATCCATGCTCTTAGAGTTTGGTATTTTTGTTCACAGGAATAAGGACAGCCGAGGCCACTACTGGCCTGATGCCCTCTCAGCAGGGATTCAGCCACCATTCTGGGAATACTTCCTAATTTAAAGTGTTTCTCTTTTTAGCTTGTCCGACAAGTGAGTGCCATTCCTTGGGGCATTTCTGCCTCTGCAGCCCTTAGGCCTGCTGCTTCTCGAAGAACGTGCTTGACAAATGCACTGTGGTCTGGCTCTGCTCAAGCAAAATTCGCCTTTAGCACCAGTAAGTGTTGTTATGCTTTGGTTTGAACCAGAAAATGGCAACATGTGTCATCTCTGTACAGGGGCTCTGAACCCTGGCAGTATATTAGACTCATCTCACCTGGGGAGCTTTTGCAAACATACCACTGCCCCAGTCCCACCCCAAACAAAATGAGTCAGTCTCTGGGGTGAGGCCAGAACATCAGTATTTTTTAAAAGCTCACCAAGTGATTCTGATGTGCAGCCAAGGGTTGAGAATCACTGAGGCAGTCTGCCCTTGTGTCACATTTCCTTGTTGGTTCCAGAGGTTTTAATCCCGTGTTGAGGAACTTGAAGTGGGATGAGAACACTCAGAGGCCTCTGGTCCTGCTGTGTGTGAAGGGGTGTGAGCTGACTGGGGACTGACAGTGCAGCTCCTCTAAAGGCTTTTGGATTCAAACTTGTGGGCTGGCTCCACTTGGCCACGTTAGGCCAGGCTAATGGACTGCTCCATGATCTGAGTGACACACAGCTATTTCTTGAGATTTACACTCCATTATCTAGAATATGAAGTTTGCTAAGTACTGCCTCAGATATTTGAAAATGCCTCCTTTAGATCTATCGCACCTTTTAAAAACAGTGTATTTAACATGTAATGGTTTCGGGGGATATACTTTAGCAAACCCTCTGTGGGTGAAATGTTCTGAAAAATTTTACAATTTTACTTCCCCAGAGCTTTAAGAAATTTCTGGTAGCGATTTGATGCCACAGGTTTAAACCTTTCCTTGTCACCTGTCCCCAACCCCCCTCCCAATAGCTCCTCCTGTTTCTGAAGCCAGGCATCTTGACCCTTGGCCTCCTGTGTCCCACCTTCCCAGGTAGAAGCATGTCCTCTCCAATTCTGACACAGCTCTTACATCCTTTCCTTTCTTTCTGTTCCTTCTGCCGTACCCTTTCCCTGCACACCTCTCACTTAGATGCCTGAAGTCACCTCCTAATATCAGGCTTCCCCCTCCCTGTTCCTCTTACTGTCCCCTGCAGACTGATCTTCCTGAGAACAGCTGACGCATCATCCATCTCCTACGTGAAAGCCTCCAGTGATTCCTGTATCTCTTCTTTTAAGAACAGATTCATCGGCCTGAGATATAAGGGCCCTTGCAGCATGGCCTTCACCAGCCTTGCTTTGTCTCCCACACGTCTTCCCTCCATGCACACCTGCTCTCTATATCAAGCTCTGCCACGGGCTGTTCCCCACACCTGCCCTGTTCTTTTGTGCCATTAGCCCTGGTCTTGGCAAAATCCGAACCATACTTAGAATCCACCTCCAGGCTCATGTTGTCCTTAATTCTATGTTCATTCCATCCCTACTATCTCCTGTCTTTTTAGTTTCCACAGCACTTTGAATTTGTGTACAGTCTAGAACTATGAAAAGAGAAAAAATTACCTAAGATGTACAATTGAACTGAACTTTTAATTATACTATTAATTACTGTGAGAGGATTAAATAAAATCAAATAAGTGCTTGGCTTAACACGTGAACTATGTATGTGTGTGCTATGTTTTGTTTTCAGGTTCCTCATGCCATGCCCCTGCCGTCACCCAGCATGCGCCCTATTTTAAGGGTACAGCTGTTGTCAATGGAGAGTTCAAAGAAATAAGCCTTGATGACTTTAAGGGGAAATATTTAGTGCTCTTCTTCTATCCTTTGGATTTGTAAGTGTATTTTCTGTGATGCTTTAATGTCATCCTGAGAGCAAGCAGAGATCCCTGCCTCCCCGCTGACATTGCCTGTCTCTAGTTACTCTTGTCAAGGGGAGGGTTGCTGCTGACCCTTTATCACTGATGGCCTTGTTGATACAGATTCCATCTGTAGCTAATTTACAAGTGATAAATATAGGGGGTGAAGTGGCATTCCTCTTAATGGGGCAGAGTTTTTTTTTGTGTGTGTGTGGTACGCGGGCCTCTCACTGTTGTGGCCTCTCCCGCCGCGGAGCACAGGCTCTGGACGCGCAGGCTCCGGACGCGCAGGCTCAGCGGCCATGGCTCACGGGCCCAACCGCTCCGCGGCATGTGGGATCCTCCCGGACCGGGGCACGAACCCGTGTCCCCTGCATGGCAGGCAGACTCTCAACCACTGCACCACCAGGGAAGCCCGGGGGCAGAGGTTTAATGTGGCTCTGTTTTATGTACGGACTCTGGAGTAGTGGTTCCTGTAAGCCAGTCTGTGAGGAAGTTTTCACTGGTTTCGGGGGGAAAATGAGAAAAGTAAGGATAAAATGAATTTTCTCATGAAGCTACTTTATTTAGATAAAATTTTGTCTTCTTGGAATATGCCTCCCCTACCCCCATTTTTAAAATATGATTCTTAAATAGAAAGGTGATAAATCTTTTTTTTTTAATTGGAGTATCATTGTGACCAGGAGTCCAGTGAGGATGGTTAACCATTTTGCCTCTCTCACCTTTAAGCAAACTGAACTAGTTTTTTTTTTAATTAATCATTTATTTATTTTATTTTTGGCTGCGTTGGATCTTCATTGCTGCGCGCAGGCTTTCTCTGGTTGCGGCTTTCTCTGGTGGTGGCTTCTCTTGTTGTGGAGCATGGGCTTTAGGCTCGCGGGCTTCAGTAGTTGCAGCACGCAGACTCAGCAGTTGTGGCTCATGGGCTATAGAGCACAGGCTCAGTAGTTGTGGCGCACGGGCTTAGTTGCTCTGTGGCATGTGGGATCTTCCTGGCCCAGGGCTCGAACCCGTGCCCCCTGTATTGGCAGGCGGATTCTTAACCACTGTGCCACCAGGGAAGTCCCTGAACTAGTTTTTAGACACCTATTGTTCAGACTGTAAAGCCTTGTTTTTCAATTCTCTGATGAAAATTTCTACCCTTTTTTCCTAGCACCTTTGTGTGTCCTACAGAAATTATTGCTTTCAGTGACAAAGCCAATGAATTTCACGATGTGAACTGTGAAGTCGTTGCAGTGTCAGTGGATTCCCACTTCACCCACCTGGCCTGGATAAACACACCAAGGAAGGTATAAACATCATTCACGCTGTGTCCGCACTTGTGATCTTAAAAACTCAAATGATCCCATTAAAGACCAACATAGAAGTGCATGACTAGTCTGAAATGGGCTATTTGTCAGGCCTAACCTACGGGCAAATTCTGTTAAACTCTACCCACCCATATCTCCTTTAACATTGCATGTATTTACTCCCCACTACACTTGTATTTTCCAGAGTACAAACAGTAACAGAGAACAGACTCTGCAGGGCAGGGGAACAGCTGGGGTTCATTGCCTCCCCTCTCACGTGTACCCTGTAGGTCCCCGGGACCCTGCGAGCCATGTGGGACAGTGCTTAAGTTTTCTGATTTCACTGCTCTCCACGATCAGTATTCTTGCCTAGAAACTTGCTTGGGAGAATCAAAATTTCTAGCTATGCTGCTGGACTATCAATCAAATTATTCAAAGTATTCTTTTTTTTAAAAAAATCTGTTCCATTTTTATGCTTCAGAAATTAATCTTCAACCAAAAGGATACTGTAAGAATAGAAAAAGAAAAAGGTCTGTAGTATCAGCTGGGTTTAAATCCTGCCTCTGCCCGTTTCTAGCTGTGACCTGGAGCAAGTTACTTAACCTTTGTGTGTCTCAGTTTTCTCATCTGTACAGTGGTGGTGATGATAGTAGCTACTCCAGGATGCTTAGAGGAGGAAGTGAGACAACAGAAAGAGCTTAGAGCAGCACTCGGCCCATTGTTGGTGCTCAGTTACTGCTGTCCGTTGCCACTGTCAGTCAGACATCGTGTTGCCTGGCTGAGGATGCTGTGGGAGCCACAGTATAACAACCAGCCCTGTTTGCATTTTTATTAGAATGGCGGTTTGGGCCACATGCACATCACACTCTTGTCAGATTTGACTAAACAGATTTCCCGAGACTACGGTGTGCTGTTAGAAGGTCCCGGCCTTGCACTACGGTAAGATCCGTTTCTTATGAACTTAAAATTGGTTTTCATGTTTAGCATCATCCTACTTCATAGGGGATTTATAGACACCTTGGTAGGGAATTTTTAGAACCCCAAATCCTTAATTTGTCTTTTAATAAGCACTGACGGATGCCTCCTGCAAGGGTTGGCAGTCTTTCAGAAATGGCTGAGACGTGTGCCCCCTGCGTCACCCTGGGCCTGTTTCTGAAGGACATCGTGTCTTGACGGTCACACCGCTCCACTCTCCCTGACTGTCTGGGAGCCACTCCTGGTGGTGAAGCCATCAGACTGTTTGGAGATGGGGCGGGGGTGGCCAGCAATGGTAGGGGTCCGTTTTCTGGAATGGTTAGGATCTTGTACAAGCACTGGAACCAGACTGGAGTTTGAATTTATTTAAACTCAGCTACTTAATAGCTGTATGACTTTGAGCAAGACAGTTAACCTCTCTGAGTCCCATTTTCCCAGTAACTAAAATGAGAATGTACCTCCCAGGTTGGTTGTGAGGATTAAATAAGGTGAGGCAGCTACAGAGTTTTTGGCACAGGTTCTAGTACCCGTCCCAGCCTGTCAACCTTGCTGGGAGGGATGAGAACTTAGGCCTTAGAACTGGCGTCTTGATGGCTGCTGAATGAAGGAGGGATTGGGCAAAACTTTACCTCCAGGAAGGAAGCGAGAACCCCACTTCGATGCGCCTCACAGTTTTGCTGGGGGCTGGCTTGAAGCCGCTCACCTGCTTGCTCTTGTAGCTGACATCTGGCCCGCTTGGGTTACACCTGAAATTTTAGCTCCGGGAGCCACCTTGGAGCTTGGGCCTTCTTGACTCCGAGGGGATTGCGGTCTTCCTTTAATAAACGAAAGCCTGGCTTTGACAGAGGGGGCAAGGGGAGAAGAGTGCTGGCATTTTCCTCCCAGGACCTCCTCCCCTGTAAGTCGTGCTAATTTTGCAGTTACCTCCCTACTCGTGTCACCAACAGGATTGACAGAGGGAGAGGAGTCGAGCCTGACTTACAAGATAAGGCTTTCTTTCCGGAGTCTGTGGGCCCTGACCCACCCTAGCTCTGTGTCTGCATCTACATGGTGGACTCCACCTTGGCTGCACCCTGCAGGGGCACGCACCAGGACCCCTTAGCCTCAAAGCCGAGACCCCCAAAGGCCAGGCCCAGGGAGGGGGAACCACCTTTTTATCTTCTGAGTTTTCTCTAACTTGCCTTTTTCCTGAGTGATTAACACTGGCATGCCACACCCTTTTAAAGGTGGACTGTTAAAAACCTAGGAGTTTTATGACATCTGCATATGTCATAGTAACACCAACACTCATATGGAAGATGAGCACAGACCCCAGGGTGGGTCACCTCATTACATTGCTGCCAAGTGATAAAGAGTGATGATGGGCTTGGACAATCTGACAATAAAAGTAATAACTAGAAGTGATTGGAACACATCAAATATATTTAAATCGATGATTTGAAGAGTTCCAGGGAACCAGTTCATTATTTTGAAAACTATTAATAATGGAATAGTACTAAGCACTCATTCTGTCTTTCCTGTACCAACTGTACCTCAGGGTAACCAAAATAAAAGAAAGTGATGGGCTTGGTTTTTCCTTTAGATTTCTGCTCTGCATAGCCTCAAGGCCAGTGAATTTTCCCATGGGATTTTTCCCCCCACTCTACGCAAGAATTCACTCATTTCATAAGTACTTACTGAATACAGATAAAATACATCTCTGTCCCTTCCCAGTTGCCTATGGTTTCTTGCCAAGGTTTGATGCAGCAGCCCAAAGAATGCTTACTACATCACTAATAAGAAGTCTTTGGTCTCTGTAGTTCAGTGACTTGCAGATTCTGCGACATATAGGTCACATTTGTAAATGTGACCGTACTGCCTGTTTTCCATGGTGGCCTTGTCCAGTCCTGTCTTTGTTAAAGCATCTGTCATCAACAAGAGATGATAAGCTGTTTGTATAGCAAGGAAAGCCCCATTTTGAAGCATATGATAGAGTTTATTAATAAGTGCTCTATCAAGGATAATTAAAGACACAAAGGGGTAGAAGTTAGAGTCTTTCTAGCTCTGGTAATGTTGAAATACTGATGATGATAAATTCTGATGCAGCGGTCTCTTCATAATTGACCCCAACGGAGTCATCAAGCATTTGAGCGTCAATGATCTCCCAGTGGGCCGAAGCGTGGAAGAGACCCTCCGCTTGGTGAAGGCATTCCAGTTTGTAGAAACCCATGGAGAAGTCTGCCCAGCCAACTGGACACCAGATTCTCCTACAGTAGGTTTATTTTCCAAAAGCAATGGGACCCCAGCAGAGGGTCCCAGGTCCTCACTGCCTCAAGGGCTGCTGGCCTGGAATATCCACGAAAGAAGCCCACCCTTGGAGCAAGGGTGTAGATGTTGTGCAAATGGGTGAAGCTGGTGCAGGTGGGGGTGGGACCAGGCACCAGGCAGGCTGTTAATGTACGTTTCAGCCAGGTATTTTAAAGGAAACAGACCAATCTTTAAAAAGTTAAAGAACTTTAGATTAAAAATTGATGGCTTTCAACTCACTTTTGAGATCATAAAGTCACTTACCCAGTGAAATGTTCTTGTATTCTCAGATCAAACCCCATCCGACTGCTTCCAAAGAATATTTTGAGAAGGTAAATCAGTAGACCATCCCATGTGCCCCTGCAGCTTCCCGCACCAGAAGAGAACCACAGCTGGAACTCACTTTTAGCATTTCAAAGATTATTATTTATAGAAGGCAAAAAAACAATTATGCTTGTATTCGTAAATATTACTCTAAATGTTTTGTTTTTGTAACATTGGCCAAGGCTTTTAAAATGTGGTTAGTTACTAATGTAAAGAGTCCTTTATTAGCAGTGTATGGATGGATGGCTAGTTGCTGTAGAATGTGCAGTTCCCCTATTTCTTGGATCATGTCTTCAAAGGGAAAAGGAAACAACTCTTCTTTATCAGCCTTACTTGAACCTTTGTGTACACTAGCGTAGTGTGACAGGCATCAAAAGCTTCTGATCAAGGGTCCTGAAATTTTCTTCTTGAGTTTCTTTGTATTAAACTGAATTTTCTTTTAAGGTCATAGTTTTAAGTTGTTAGCATCAGTGGTCTAATTTAACACTTGCAGGACTTCCCTGGTGGTCCGGTGGTTAATACTCTGTGCTCGCAATGCAGGGGACGTGAGTTCGATCCCTGGTCAGGGAACTAAGATCCCACATACCATGCAGTGTGGCCAGGAAAAAAAAAAACAAAAAACACTTGCAATGAATGTGTATGTGATTGAAGCAGATGTGAATCATGTTTTTTAAAAAACCACCTACAGTGGCCAACTGACTTAACTGATCATGCATGTTCCCCAGTCCTGAGATTTATACTTTATATAATTATTTTACTTATTTTGTTAGCTGACTTAGTGCCTACATACATTTCTAATATTTATTGGGCATAATTATAAAGGATAATTATTGAATCCAGGGATTGCATTTTGAATTTGAATCATTCATGCATTTGAATCATTGTAATTATTTTATTTCCTGAAGTGTTCAATGTAAAAAAATATAAAAATAAACATTTTAAAATACTTGCATTTTTTTTTTTAATACTTGCATTTTTAACACCATTAATTTATTGGTTCAGCTTATGCTGTGGGACTCTAGTGTTCCTTCTCTGATTATATCAACAAACATTTATTGAACATTTAACTCAGTGGCTACAAAGATGAATAAGATGCTGGCTCCACATCCAAGGAACTCAGTTTAGGGGGCAAAAGAAATATGGAAGCATTTGTTAATTTTAATAAATCCTGGAGTTCCTACCATATGCTATGTACTATTTTGGAGGCAAGAGAGTGAACAAAAAAGACACACCCCTTCCTTTACGCACTTAAATTCTAGAGGGAATAAACATAATAAAAATACATAGGGGGACTTCCCTGGCGGTCCAGTGGTTAAGACTCCACGCTTCCACTGCAGAGGGCGTGGGTTCAGTCCCTGGTGGGGGAAACTAACATCCCACATGTCTTGTGGCATGGCCAAAAAAAAAAAATACATAGGATGTTTGGAAGGACAATCAAGTGGAGCAAGGGACTAGAGCAGAGTGTTGGCAGGTGTGTTCTAAAAGGGTTTCAGGGAGTCAGTCTCTCCAGGTCTGTTTTCTCATCTGTAAAATGAGGACTGTAATTGTACCTATCTTAGGGTTTTGATGATCAAATGAAATAAAACATGTAGGTGAGGGAGTAAGGAGGATAAGAAGATTCTAGGCAAAGGGCATGGCAGGTGCAAAGGCCCTGAGGCAAGGGTGGACTTGGGGTGGGTGAAGAATTGAAGGGCCATGTGACCAGAGCTGTGAAGGAGAAGCATGGTAATGGGGAGCCCAGAGTGCTTTATGGGCAAGCTAAGGACTTTGGATTCTATTCTGAGATGGGAATGTCAGGAATGTTCTTGAGAAGAGTTACATCAACTTGTTCTAAGAGGATCACTCTGGCTCCTTTGTTAGGGCTAGACAGTCCAGAGAGGGAAGCAGGTCAGGTGGGCTGGATCTGTGACATACTTGCACGTAGAGCCAGCAGGATAATACAGGTGTGCTAAACTGTGGTATAATAGATACATTCCTGGGGGCATAGAACACTGGGGAACAGTGAGGAGGGGGCACCTTACCCAGCTGTGGGCATCAAGGAAGTCTTCCTGGAGGACAAGATGAAGTCTTGAAGGCTATGGAAAAGTGAGCCAAGTGAGCTGAGCAAAAGTGGGAGCTGAGAGGCCACATGGGCCTCTAATAAGCTGGTTTCATGTTCCCAGAGGGGAAGGCAAAGCAAGGGAGGGCAAAGGTCAGCTGCCTGTAAGTGGCCCAGACTGAGCCAGCACTGTTAGGGCTTTTACATGTTTTATCTCATTGGATCCACAACAAAAACAAAATAGGTACAATTACTGTCATCATTTTACAGATGAGAAGGTAGATTTGGAGATATTGATTTGACCAGGGTCACACAACCAAGTAGTGGCTGGTGCTGGGTCCCCAACCCAGGACTCCCGAGGAGCCCCCTGAACACCCTAAACATCCACACGTCTTCCACAAACACACATAACCCCCACCCACCCCAGTGCTGGGGAATGGGGTGGAAGGCGGAAGGAAGGCATGTTTTTCTCTGCAAATGGTCCCTACCTGATCTGGTATCCAACAGAAGGAGCTGGATTTGCCCCGGCGGCGTTGGGGAAAAACCCTTGGGCAGAGAGAGAGAGAGCGCGCACTGAAATCAGGGCCAGCTTAACGGGCTGGCGGCAGGGCCCGACACTTAACTTAGAGGGGCCCCGGGGTTTCGGTTTAATGTTCTGATGTCGACTTCTGAAAATTCGCAGTCTTTTTTTAATAAGGGGCGCCACGTTTTCATTTTTCACTGAGCCACGCAAATTATTTAGCGAGTCCTGACTACCCCTGATCCCGTGTACGCTGGACTTTAGGTGCAATTGAAGGGATTTTCGAGGGTGATATCCAAAAGCCTGTGCTGGGGTGGGGGGAGGGGGGGTTGGACGCTGCAGGAGCGCAAGGCGAGGCTGTGGAAGGCGCCACAGGCCACCTGATCGGGGCTTCGCGGTAGGTACCGTGATCTGGGGGTTCCATAGGTGACCCCTCTAGGCCTGGAGGCGACCAGGCTACCCGAAAGGGCGGAGCAAGGGTGGGAGGCCTTGACCTGTGGGAGAGGTGGGCTCACGGCAACAGCAGGCGCGCGGGGCCCGCGACGCAGGAACAGCAGGCGCGTGATGCCGAGGAGCGGCGGGCGCGCGGCCCCGGGAGCGGGGAAAGGGGACGCGCGCGC